TTTTCTGTAGAACAAATATCATCCCAAAAAGTCATATTTTTCTATAGATCAAATTTACTTTATTGAAAAAAATCACTGACCCCCAAGTCCTATTCCTGTTTCTATAGAAACAATTCATAGACCCAAAGTCCCATTTTTTAAAATACACAAAAAATGCAGACCGTCGGGTTCCATTTTTTCTATAGAAAAAAATCTTCAAACCATGTGATCCATTGTTTTACAGACCGACCCTTAGGTCCCAATTTTTTTTATAGAAAAAAAAATCACTGTCCCTCAGATGCCATTTTTCCAATAGAAAACCAGTAAGGAAAGTTCAAAAGTCGGACGGGACCGACTATATGATACCCTTCACCACTTTATATACATACAAGAGATGCTAATATATAGATATTAAAAAATCGGGAGAAACTATATATGGGAGCTATATCTAAATCTGAACCGATTTCAATAAAACTTGGCACACATCTGTCTAGAACTGATTCAGTACTCAGTGCAAAATTTTTTTCTCAATCGGACAAATATTGGGAGTTTAATGCATCTTTCGCAAAAAATCGGACAAAACCGAAAACAATTTCAACAAAATTTCGTATACATTAGTCTAGACTTAATTCAGTACACTGTGCAAAATTTTGTCTCAATCGAATAAATATTGGGATTTTAGTGCACCATTCACATAAAATCGGACGAAACTATATCTAAATCTGAACCGATTTCAATAAAACTTGACACACATCTGTCTAGACCTAATTCAGTACTTTGTGCAAAATTTTTTTCTCAATGGCACAAATATTGGGAGTTTGGTACATCATTTGCATAAAATCGGACGAAACTATATATGGGAGCTATATAAAAATCTTAACCGATTCCAACAAAATTTCGCATACATTAAAACGGGCCTGATTCAGTGCACTGTACAAAATTTTGTCCCAATCGAAAAAATATTGGGAGTTTGGGGCATCATCATCATCGGACGAAGCTATATATGGGAGCTATATCTAAATCTGAACCGATTTCAAAAAAAAAACTTGGCGTATATCAGTCTAGACATAATTAAGTACTCTGTGCAAAATTTTGTGCCAATCGAACAAATTTTGGGAGTTTGCTGCACCATATACATAAAATCGGACGAACATATATATGGGAGCTATATCTAAATCTGAACCAATTTTCCCCAATTTCAATGGGATTCGTCCTTGGGCCAAATAAATGACCTGTGGCATATTTCATCCAAATCGGATAATAAATGCGACTTGTACTTTGTTCACAAAAATACATGGACGGACGGACAGACGGACATGCATAAATCGATTCAGAAAGTGATTCTATGCATTTTCTCGAAAGGAACCATGGGTCTATTTCGACAAACAAATGCACAAAGAAATAATACCCTGTAACTCAGTGTGGTGAAGGGTATAACAAAATCACAGACCCTTAGGTGCCATTTTTTCTACAGAAAAAAAATACAGACCCTCAGGTCCTATTTTTCTATAGAAATAAATTCATAGCCCCTCAGGAAAAAATTCACAGTCCCTCAGTTGTAATTTTTCCAATAAAAAAAAAAACACAGACCCTCAGGTTCCATTCAAAGACCCAGAGGTGCTATTTTTCTACAAAACAAAATCACAAATCTGGACCTATTTTTCTATAGAATTAAATTCACAAACACTCAGCACCGATTTTTTTCTAAAACACAAAAGTTCACAAACCCTTAGTTTGGATTTTTTTAAATTCAGAACCATGGTTATTATTATAATTACTATTATTTTTTTGTAATATTAAAAATTACTTTGAATAACCATGACTCTTTTGAAGATAATTGTTCGATAAAGAACCGGTCACATGAACCAAGACTTTGGTGTGAAAAGTGATAAAAATGTGCATATTATGGCGAATATGTTCACTCCTGGAATTTTACACAGGCTCAAGATTTCACTCCTTGGAAGTTGTGTAGGGTATCATAATGCCAGTGCCATCTAACCACACTGTTCCGTTTACTAGTTAAAAATAGTTTTAAAATAACTATTTATCAAAACTATTACAAGATTTTTGAGCACCCATTTCGTCTGACCGATACAGAATCAATAAATCAGTCAATAGCTAAACTCAAATATATACAAGCATACAAATATTGCAGCTATACACGCTTTGATGATTTCCAGTGGCAACGTGAAGTGTTTACACTTCCCACCCGCACATTAGTTAGGTGAAAATGAGATCGAGCATCAAGCTCTCAAACATACAGAGATAAGTGTAGATTTTTTTGTATACCTAATCAAATGAACAACAAACGAAAGCGCACCCCAAGAGTGCTAATCAAAAATAAATAACAGAAGCCGCCAGAGATTGCTGGAACTGCAATATGTTGTGTTGGTCTTTGTTGTTGTTGTTGTGGTTTTTATAATTTTTTGTGTTTCATATTGATGGACAACAAACATTGTTTGATGGATGTTATGGGTATGCATGTACGTCTGGTATGTATCTTGCCAGGGCCACGCCTTAATTAAATAAGAAATTAAATTGAACTTGACACACAAACAGCAGACAAATGCAAACTTTGGTATTCCCCCCTCAACCTACCTCAACACCAATCATCTGAAACCATTAAAAAGCAGTAAAAAATTAGCCAAAAAAAACTTGGCGTTTTTTTGTGATTTTGGTTTTGTTTTCGATTTTTACACTTTTTGCTTAATCCAAACCACAAGATTATGATGATAAAGAAGAAGCAGAAGATGACACTACCGATCCGCCGATATTGTGGTATTACAGCCATGAATGAAGAAGATGAAAATGAAAACAAGTTTTATTTTTGGTATTATCAATCGATCGTATGTACAATCAATTGTTGGCTGCAATGTACATACATACAGTGGGGCGGCATAACTAGTACGGATGCCCTGGGAAAAAATTAACTAAAATTAAAAAAAAAAATCAGAAAATAATCTTGTTTAAAAAGCCTAACTTAATATAAAACCCTGAGTAGGTACTTCTAAAAATGTTATTTTTTCGGGCCTTTGAAAAAATATATTTAACAAATTCATGCTGCCAATAGGGCCTGGAAAAAATCAAAATTAAAAGGTACTCGTTGATTTTTGGAAAAATTTTAGTGGAAGGGAATATTTGGCAAGGGTCTTGTATAATATATATATATGAAACTTTTCACACGCTAGGTTATATTAACTTCAGTACGTTTTTCAAAATGTTGTGTAACTCGGCCTCCATTTGGGTCTTTGGTGAACCATTTACTTAAAATCGGACATAGATATATCTAAATCTAAACCGATTTCAACTATACTTGCCACACGTTATGTTATAGTAACTTCAGTACGTAGTGCCGATTGGACCCACCTTGCGCTATGCCAAATTTCGTGCAAATCGAAAGATATATATGGACTTCGGTGCACCATTTACATAAAATCGGACGAAAATATATGGGAGCTATATCTAAATCTGAACCGATTTTCACGAAACTTAGCACACATCATTGTAGACTCAATTCAGTACGCTATGCCAAATGTCGTGCAAATCGAATGATATATAGGGACATTGGTGTTCCAATTACATAAAATCCGACGAATATATATATGTGAGCTATATCTAAATCTGGACGGATTTTAAGGAAAGTTAACACACATCATTCGAGAACAAATTCAGTACGCTGTGCCAAATTTCGTGCAAATCGAATGATATATAGGGACATTGGTGCACCAATTACATAAAATTGGACGAATATATATACGGGAGCTATATCTAAATCTGAACCGATTTTTACGCAACTTAGCACACATCATTCTAGACTCAATTCAGTAAGCTATGCCAAATTTCGTGCAAATCGAAAGATATATAGGGACTTTGGTGCCCCATTTACCCTTAATCGGACGAAAATATATATGGGAGCTATACCTAAATCTGAACCGATTTCCACGAAACTTAGCACACATAATTTTAGGCTTAATCCAGTACGATGTGCTAACTTTCGTGCAAATCGAAAGATATATAGGGACTTTGGTGCACCATTTAAATTAAATCGGACGAAAATATATATGCGAGCTATATCTAAATCTGAACCAATTTTCACAAAACTTGGTACACATCATTCTAGACTCAATTCAGTACGCTATGCGAAATTTCGTGATATATAGGGTCTTTTTTGCACCATTTACGTAAAATCGGACGAAAATATATATGCGAGATATATCTAAATCTGAACCGATTTCCCCCAATTTCAATAGGGTTCGTCCTTGGGACAAACAAATAAGCTGTACCAAATTCATTCAAATCGGATTATAAATGCGATCTGTACTTTGTTTACAATTTAACACCAACAGACGGACGGACATGCATAAATCGACTTAGAAAGTGATTCTATGCATATTCTCAAACAGAACCATGTGTCTATCTCGTTTCCTGTTACAAAAATATGCCCAAAGACATAGTACCCTGTACCACAGTGTGGTACAGGGTACTATAAAATACTGAAAAACAAACCACTGTTCATACAATTTTTTTTATTTGTTCAATTAAATGGAATTTACTTGTAGCTGTAAATATCATCATAACGAAAACAAAAATGATCAAACCTCATCACCAAGTTGATGTTCTTTTGCATTCGATACAACCATCCAACCATTCATGGTCGCATCAAACCCACACTGTGTCATATGTCCATACACTTTATTAACAATTTTTGTATTTTTTGGAGGAACAATCCCTTTTCTCACTTCAATGTATTGGTAAACCAGAAATGGTACTTGTTTCAGAGTACCATGCAAAAAATTCCAAAAAACAAAAACAACAAGAGCATCAGCCAAATAACTGAGGCTGGACAATTGCTTATGTCTGGTGGGATTATGTATAAAATGCCGGTAATGAGATGCTGTAGTTAACATTAATTGTTTGGTACTTGCACGGTTAACAGCCAAAAATCAGCTGCAGTCTCATCTTCGTTTGCCAATTTCTTAACGGATTTTTCGCTATTTACAAAGTTTTTCCTGAACTCCAACCAAATCACACCACCAGCACCATGAAATACTCCGTTGCCATTTTGTTTGTTGCCATGTTCGCCTGTGCCTTGGCTGCTCCACCACAACAAGAGGCCCAGGTATTGCGTTACGATTCGGATGTACAACCTGAGGGATACAAGTTTGCGTAAGTGTTAATTTAAAATAACTGGTTTTTGCCAACAATTGGTTCAGTGGGCCAAGGTTAAAATAAACCAACTGGTTGCCTCATCTTCAAACATGCCTTTTCATTGGTTTCCTTTCTCTCTCTTTTATTTATAACAGCGTTGAAACCAGTGATGGCAAAACACATCAGGAAGAAGGTCAGTTGAAGGACATTGGCACCGATCATGAAGCCATTGTTGTACGCGGCTCCTTCTCATATGTTGGCGATGATGGCCAACAGTATACCGTTACCTATTTGGCTGATGAAAATGGTTTCCAACCCGAAGGTGATCATTTGCCACGTTTGTAAAGACACAGTCACCTCGTCGTAACAACCACCTCACTAAAGTAAATGCTCACTGATTTTTTTTTATTATTTTTTGTGTTAACTAGGTTTAGTTTCTTTAAAATTGTATAATTTCTTTTAATTGTAGTTGTAAATTTTGTAATTGTTCGAATTGAATCAAATAAATGTGATCGTAATTGAAAGAAAATTTAATAATGGATTTTGATTTTTGAGAAATAATTTATTTCTATTACAACAATTGGACTGGGAAGGGGATATTTTTAAATACTACAACAATTACAAGTGTACATTTTCAGACAGCAACATAAGGTTTAGCATTCCTTTGCAAGACCCCATAACGTATCTATATTAGTACAAAAATAAAGTGATTGACTGACTTAACGATTTATCAACGTCCAGAACACACGCCTAAAAGGGCATATACATTAGAACTTTTTACCAGGTTAACCTACTTTATGAGAATTTATTTGACATATATGCAAAGGAATTGGCAATTGAAACCCACTGGGCTAACGAAATCCGGTTAGATGTAAACGTACTGTAACGCTAGGATCTTGAAATTTGGTGTAAGTGTTGGGTTTTTGAAAATTCGTATTAGAAAATCATGAAAAGTACTTAATATGGTGCCATTTGTATTTGCGTAATGGTAGAGCTAGAACTCTTTAACTTGGGGTGCGGGCAACGGATGGAGTGTGGGATAGATGTACCAACCACTAGAACATTCAAAAAATATGTTTTAAACAATTCATGCTTATACTAGATACCTGAAAAAATATGCATATACTAGATCCTTAAAGTATTTTAAAACCATTGAGCGGAGCAGTATAGTCGGACGGGGCCGACCATATGATTCCCTACACAACTACCACGGAACTCAAATTTTGCGGATTTTTATTCCGAGCCTGGGCAATATTTCGTGATAGTTGCACCCTGTTGCCCGATTAGAAATAAACTGCACCAAATATTACAAATATTAATAATATTCAGTACAGCCCTTCTAATTACTTGTCCAGATTGCCACCGTGAAGTTTGTGTTCGACTTTCAATTGTGGCCTATAGATCGACTTGAAAAAAAACACAAAAAATTAAGTTTTTGGTCTAATTCATCCCAAAATTATTATTTGATCATCACCGAAAATTATAGGCGTTGTCCTTGACCATACCTGGATCCTCATGGAAAATATAAAAGCGATCAGCGCTATATTTCCGCCCTCTAGTGTGGTAATATGTTACTAAATAATATATGAATACATAAGCACCTGTAAATATGATTGGTATCAATTTATAGGTCAACCACTCCTCTTGGATGTACAATCAATTTATCGGGTAAATATATACCCTCTAAAATACAAATTTTGTAATTTTTCACACAAAAGTCAGGGTTCATTTGACCCGCTAAATATTAACCGATCTTTATAAAAACAGACATGCTTATTCTTTGACCCAATCCCCTTCTCCATGTAATAACTCGAGATGTTTTGGGCATAATTGCGGCCCATGGAGAGACCAGAAAAATCGACAAAAATTAAGTATTTAGTCCATTTCATCCCCTAAATATTAATCGATCTTTACCAAACATTGGCCAGAAGATTGGTCCTCGCCTAAATATTAACCGATCTTTACCAAAAACAATAGGGGTCTTCATTGGCCAGAAGATTGGTCCAAAACTGTGGCCTGTATCGTGTTTACAAATTATAATGGACCGACGGACGGACGGACACACATGTCTAGATCGACTCAGCTAGTCGATATATGACGATCGGTATACTTAAAGGTGGGTCTATGACCAATATTTCGCGGCGTTACAAACTCTTGGGGCTGCACAATGCTATAATATCCTGACAACATAGTTGTGTAGGGTATGAAAATCGGGCTTATCCTGGACCCTTAAATTTGGTACAATTTGAATTTAAATGATACGATAGAACTGGAATCCTGAAAATTTCGATTATTATCGTCGATATTGGTGTATAAGTTGATTAGATCTTCTCCCACGTTTTTCAATCAAATTGTTCAAAGTAGTAAAGTCGGACGGGGCCAACTATATGATACCTTTCACTACTTTGGGTATATTCAACAGATGATTCCTAACAGACGTCGCATTTTTGAAGGACCAGTAAAATTAAATTGTAGCCTTAAACATGTCATTCTGCAACCTATATTAAATTCTTCATTTGGTCAGATATAGAGTTGCTTCTTACAATGGGACAAAATTATGTAAATAAATTTAAAGTAAATATCAATCGGACACCCGTTGATTATTTGGATAAATATCTGATACACATTAGGATTTTGGTGCACCTATATCTAAATCAACACCGATTTCAACGAGACATGCCAGTGATTAATTTATATTAACTACAGTTCATTGTACAAAATTGTGTGGCAAAAAATTAGTGCACAATTTACATAAAATCGGAAGAAAAATTATATAGGAGCTATATTTAAATCTGAACCGATTTCCACGAAACTTAGCACACATCATTCTAGACTTTATTCAGTACGCTATGTCAAATTTGGTGCAAATCGAAAGATATATAGGGACTTTGGTACACCGTTTATCTTAAATCGGACGAAAATATATATGGGAGCTATATCTAAATCTGGACCGATTTTCAGGAAACTTAACACACATCGTTCTTGACCAAATTCATTACGCTATGCCAAATATCCTGCAAATCAAAAGATTTATAGGGACATTGGTGCACCATTTATCTTAAATCGGACGAAAATATATATGAGAGGACCCATGTGTCTATCTCGTTTCCTTTTGCTTACAAACATATGCACAAAGCAAAACACCCTGTACCATAGTGTGGTGAGGTGTATAAAAACATATTTTTATACAATTTTCGATTTCAGTCGATATTTTGACATTGGTTCGTTTTCTAGTTTCCCAACCTAACAGTCTACATTTTGATTTTTTCAGAGCACGATCATATTTTTAATGGACACTACTTAGTGGAATTATTTTTTTACTTGTTTCAAAATACTTTTATAATCAACATCTGGATGCTTGGATTTTAACCCTCTCAGACCCAGCTTAATCAATTGTGAGATCTGAAAATGTTAGTGTGGTGAGGGGTATAAAACATATTTTTAGACAATTTTCGATATATTTTAACATTGGTTCCTTTTCTAGTTCCCCAACCTAACAGTCTACATTTTGATTTTATTCAGAGCATGATCATATTTTTAATGGACACTACTTAGTGGAATAATTTTTTTTACTTATTTCAAAATATTTTTATAATCAACACCTGGATGCTTGAATTTTAACCGTTTCAGACCCAGCTAATCAATTGTGAGATCTGAACATTTTCCAGAGAAGTTAGTATAAATATGTCTTAAAACTGCCTGTTGTTTCAATTTTTCGACAAATGTGGTTAATGCGACCACATAAGCACACTATTCTAAAGAAAATTATTTTAAATATAATCATTATTACAAGCGTGAATTTCTTAACGAGTTTTTTATACATCAAAATTTCGTCGCCACAATACGCTATTACATTATTTTATTCTTATAATAGAAATAATTTTCGATCTTTAAAATATATTCCAATTTTCGTAGCCACAATATTTTATTTTACCAATAGAATATAATATATGTAATATATAATTTATTTTATTTATTTATTTTTCTTTTTTGCAAAACCTGTTTCTATACCTACCAGATGTTAACAAAAATAATTATATATTGGAACATAGTACGTCATGACGCACAACATAGGCTCTCCTTCAAGGGCGGCCCATACAAGAAATAACAACAACACCACCACCAAACAAGCATGTTCTTTACATCTGAAAGCAAAGAAGAGCAACATTTTAATCCACTGCCGAAAGATGTGTGGCCAGTTTTACTAGTGGTGGCTAGCAACTTATTAAATTAATGCAAATGAAATATGTTAGCGATTTTCATAGTAACAAACTTCTGTTTATTTATTTTTTTTGCCAATTCGCACTATAAATAACCCGGGCAGCATCTCAGTAGTCAGCACACAGTTTTCAAACTTTGAACTAAGCTAACAACAAAGCATCACAACAGTCAACATGAAATTCATCATTGTTTTCGCTGCCGTCTTCGCCTTGGCTTTGGCCGCTCCCGCTGATGTTGAAATTGTCAGAAGCGAATCTGAAGTTGGTCCTGAATCTTTCAAATATGTGTAAGTAGTGAAAACAAAAACGAAAAAACATCAAACTACTGGATATCGTTGGATTATTTAATTAACTTGAATATTTCCTTCTTTCAACAGTTCCGAAACCAGCGATGGCACCCAAGTCCAAGCTGAAGGTCAATTGAACAACATCGGTACCGAACAAGAAGCCATTGCTGTCCGCGGTTCTTTCTCCTTCGTTGCTGATGATGGTCAAACCTACACCGTCAACTATGTTGCCGATGAAAACGGTTTCCAACCCCAAGGTGCTCATTTGCCCGTTGCCCCCGAAGCTTAAGTTGTGATTGTTGTTAAATTAGTTAATAAAAAAAATGTTTTGTTTTTAACAAAAAAAAATATCTATGTTTTTATTAAGTCCTAGCGTAGCATGCAGGGTGTTAAGAACAAATAAGCTAATTTCAGCAATAACTAATTCAAAGCTTGGATATGTTATATAAAATCAATAATAACAGGGACCAAAATATTAATGAATTGTTTAAGCTACCCAAACAGAGGTCGATTTTCTGAATGAGATTTTGTTCAAGGACCAAAACAAGCTAGGAATGTTCCTGGTCTTAAATGGCTTAAATTTCAAAATATGACCCTACAAACATATATTAACCAAGTGAAAATGTCTTTAAGTTTTGGCGGGGCGAACTTTTTACACCCTCCACAATGATAAAAATTAATAAAACCGATCTCATCACAATAACCCTTATATACCGTACATGCGATGGCAACATTTTTATAGGAAGAATTTGCATCCAATGTGATCCCGAAAAAATCATATTACTGCCAATTCGGTAGAAAAGTGTTCCTTAAAATACCGAAATTTAAAAGACCCAATTAGGTTACAACACAACGTGAACCGAGTTTCAATATCAAACATCCTAGGAGTAGAAATTGAAAGCCCAAAATTTGAAAGCCCTATAATAACTATTGTAACATTTATCGTGATTTTATCACACAGGCAAATAGGCGGACATGGCTATATCGTAATTGAATTTTATTCTGTACAAGGGGTCTGTTTGGAGTGAGTTTTTAAAAATATAATTTATGGATCATAACAAACGTGGGTGTTTTGAAGAACCTATCTTAAGATGTCATTCAATTTATAGACTTTTAGGTACAATCATAGTCGTAGATTTTTAATTAGTATTTATTCAGGGGCCATAATAGGCGTGTATTCTTTAATGAATATTTTTTAAAAACTATCATAGGTGTGGATCTTTTAAATAATATATTTTTTTCAAGGGCCAGCACAGGTGTGGTTGTTTTAAATAATACTTTTCAGCTATTATAAATATTTTTTCTGGGTCATCATAGGAGTGGCATTTTATACCCTTCACCACACTGTGGTGCAGGGTATTATGTCTTTGTGCATATGTTTGTAACAGGCAAAATGAAACGAGAGAGACACATGGTTCCTTTTGAGAATATGCGTAGAATCACTTTCTGCATAGAATCACATGTCCGTCCGTCCGTTTGTAGATGTAAAATTGTAAACAAAGTACAGGTGGCATTCATGATCCGATTGGGATGAAATTTTGCACAAGCCACGTATTTGGCTCAAGGACGAACCCTAAAGATTTAGATATAGCTCCCGTATATAGTTCCGTCTGATTCAAGTCAAATGGGGCACCAAATTCCATATATATCTTTCGATTTGCACGAAACTTGGCATAGAGTATTGAATTAGGTCCAGAATGATGTGTGCAAAGTTTCGTGGAAATCGGTTCAGATTTAGATAAAGCTCCCATATATAACTTTGTCCGATTTTATGTAAGTGGAGCACCAATGCCCCTATATATCTTTCGATTTGTGCGAAATTTAGCATAGTGTACTTAATTGAGTCTAGAATGATGTGTGTCAAGTTTCGAGAAAATCAGGTCAGACTAATATATAGCTCCCATATATATTTTCGTCCGATTTAGGGTAAATGGGGTCCAAAGTCCCTATATATCGATTTGCACGAAATTTGGCATAGGGTATTGAATTAGGTCCAGAATAATGTGTGCTAAGTTTCGAAAAAAATCGTTTCAGATTTAGATATAGCTGCCATATATATTTTCGTCCGATTTAATGTAAATGGTGCTCTAAAGTCCCTATATATCATTCGATTTGGCACAGCGTAATGAATTAAGTTTCTAATGATGTGTGTTAAGTTTTCTGAAAATCGGTTCAGATTTAAATATAGCTCCTGTATATATTTTCGTCCGATTTAATGTAAATTGTGCACTAAAGTCCCAAAGTATGGCCGACCGGCACACAATTTTGTACAATGTACTGAAGTTATTATATCCTTTCGTGTGTCACGCTTTCATAAAATCGGTTCAGATTTACATATAGTAAATGGTGCACTAAAGACCCATAGCTAGACCGATTGACACAACGTACTGAAATTAATATAAATTAATCTCTGGAAAGTTTCTTTGAAATCGGTTCATATTTAGATATAGTATAGCTTCCATATATAATTTCGAAATATTCATGTTGATTGTACACCAAATAGTGAAGCATACCAAAAAGCGTGTGTAAAGTTTGCTTTAAAACTATTTACAAAATTTGGAATAGGTTGCAGAATGGCATGTGTTGGAATTGATGTCAGTCGGTTTACTTATAGATAAAGATCGCATTGTAAGTTCGTTTCATGTCAATGTTTCTTCGATAAGGCGACGTCTGTTAGGATAAATATGTAGAATATACCCAAAGTGGTGAAGGGTATTATATACTCTACCCCGTCCGACTTTACTACCTTCCTTACTGGTTTAAATAATATTTTTCTTTGGACCATCATAGGCGTTTTTTTTTAAATAATATTTTTTTCAAGAACCATCATAAGAGTAGATTTCTTAAATATTATTTTTTAAGACCATAATAGGCGTAGATTTTTTTAATATTTTTTTTAATAATATTTTCCATAGGCGTAGATTTTTTTCATAATATTTTTTTAAATAATATGTTCCAAGGACCATCATAGGCGTAGATTTTGTTCATAACATTATATGCGTGTTTTTTTTAACAATATTTCTTCAGGAATAGTCATTGTCAGGGATTTAAAAATACTATTTTTCACGGATCATCAAAGGCGTGGATTTTTTATTGAACCATCGACCATCAAAGACGTATGTTTTTTAAATAATATTTTTATGAGGTCTTCGACTAAGAGTATGTAAAATCTACAAATACATTGTCCTCGACCAAAAATTCCTACATAAATTAATTTATATAATTAATATTCTCTAAAACAAATTCACAGTTGAAAAAGTAATATTCTTCAAAAATCTTCTTTAAAAAATCAAAATATTGATAGTTCTTGCAAAAAAAATTATTCCTTAAAATTTCACACTTAAATTATCCTTGTAAAAATATATTATTTAAAAAACGCACCTCACAAAATATATAATATTTTAAGGAATGTTTGAGATCAGACTTTAAAAAAGTATTTTTAAATATTTTCGATTAGCTGGTTCTCGAAAAACATATTCATAATTCTCATCACAATCCCTTTGATATAATTTTTTAAAGAGATTTCGGAAGTAATGCGGAAATTTATAAAATAATTAATAATTTTTAATTTGTCAAATATATCAAAAACACAACGATATTTTCTTTACAGAAAAAATAAAAAATTGTTGTTAAATTTTGAGCCCTCTTGTTTTTCAGAACTTTTAGTTCTTGTGTTATTTTCTTCTTACTAAATTAATAGCGTCTAAAACTAGTTCCAATGACCATTGCTGATGCCATAGGGCAAACACAAATGGTAATCCAAGAATAGCATCAAACCAAAAGCGGTTGAATTAAAGTCCGGTTGCCAAGCAAATATTCTAGTAGCCAACCAACCAACCAATCACATTCATACATTGTACAATGGTTTCCTGTTCGAGATCGAGTCGTAAAACAACACATGTAGGTGTGAACTGGGATTTATGCTCGATTACAGCAGCCAGCGACAGGGCAAGTCTGTCAGCCAGCCAGTTGCTCATAATCATAAAGAGACAGCAAAGAAAACCAACAACAATGCACACACGCACACGCAAAAAAACCCGTTTAAATCAAAACCATTAAAGATGACAAAATCAAAGAACTAAACGAAAATGAAGAAGAAGATGATGATGATGATGTTTGGCTTAGAAGACACCACTTCAGTTCGACTATAAAATGTGGTGTCGTCGGAGTCCATCAGTCACACATCTAGTACGCTTTGATCAACGATCACAAAAAAACCAAAACACAACCAATCAAAATGAAATTCATCATTGTTTTCGCTGCCGTCTTCGCCTTGGCTTTGGCCGCTCCCGCTGATGTTGAAATTGTCAGAAGCGAATCTGAAGTTGGTCCTGAATCTTTCAAATATGTGTAAGTAATGACAACAAAAACAAAACAAAAAACCTCAAACTACTGGATATCGTTGGATTATTTAATTGATGTGAATATTTCCTCCTTTCGACAGTTCCGAAACCAGCGATGGCACCCAAGTCCAAGCTGAAGGTCAATTGAACAATATCGGTACCGAACAAGAAGCCATTGCTGTCCGCGGTTCTTTCTCCTTCGTTGCTGATGATGGCCAAACCTACACCGTCAACTATGTTGCCGATGAAAACGGTTTCCAACCCCAAGGTGCTCATTTGCCCGTTGCCCCTGAAGCTTAAGTAGTGATTGTTGTTAAATTAGTTAATAAAAAAAATGTTTTGTTCTTAACAAAAAAAAATGGGATTTGTCATTCTATGAAATCTGGGTCTTACATGATGAGGATGGTAAACAAATATGGCACTAAAGGACAAGTTAAGCGTGGGTACTATAAAGCTTAGGCTTTTTGTATCATACATTTTACACTGACAGAGCGAATTTCGAAAAATATGTTGTTAAGACCAAAATATGAATATTTCATGGACCAAACAGTATTATTTTTTCATGCTGCATCATAGGCGTGATTTAAATGAGATTGGTTTGAGCCAATGTGGATTTTTTAAGGAATATAATTTTCTGATGTGTGGATTTTAAAATATATTTTCCTGTAACCATGATATGTGGGGATTTTTTAAGTATATTTTTAAGGATTTTTTTAAGAATATTTTTTAATGAATATTTTTTCAAGGACCAACACAATTGTGGTGTTTCTAAAGAATATATTTTAATTCGAGACCAGTTGTGGATTTTTCAAAGAAAATATATTCTTAGAGACCATCATAAACGTGCTCTTGGCTTTTGACCGCTCCCGCAGATGTTCAAATTGTAGGGACCATCATAGGCGTGGATTTTTCCAGAATATTTTAGGGACCATAATATATAGGGATTTTTTAAAGAATATTTTTAGGGACACTCATTGGTGTAAATTTTTTAAAGAATATTATATA